CTGAAAAAATTTAGATTGCTTAGCTGATCGTAGGAAGGTGCTGCACTTAACGATGAAAACTCAATGCCCATATTGTGACAAAAAAGCAAATCTGCTCATAATTTTCTGCAGAACGAAAAATATTTTTCAATACACATGCTAGCCACCAAGGTTATTCTCATTAGGAGGTCATGTAATTCCTCTCCTTTAAGGATAGCAAGATATTCAATTTATTTTTCCACACAGGCTACTTTTATGGAATGAAACTTTCATACAAAATTCTGCAATTGACAAAGAGCTCAAAACTATTCAGATTCCAATAAATTAAATGCAGGTAGTCCTCGACTTAAGAAGGCCACAACTGAGCCCACAATTACTACAGCTAAGCGAGACAATTGTTAAATGAGTTTTCTCCCATTTTATGACCTTTCTTGGCACATTTGTTAAGCGAATCACTGCAGTTGTTAAGTTAGTAATGTGGTTGAATCTGGCTTCCTCGACTTTGCTTGTCAGAAGGTCACAAAAAGTGATCACATGACCCCGGGACACTGCAGCCATCATCAATACATGCCAGCTGCCAAGCTTCCAGATTTTTTGACCATGGGGGATGCTGCAATGATTGTAAAACAGTCATAAGTCACTTTTTTTTTCAGTGCCATTGTAATTTCAAATGGTCACTAAATGAATGGCTGTAGGCCGAGGACTACCTGTATCCCAAGTTTTCAAAAATATATTTTGAAAAGTTATTTCCAGCTTGCTTCTGAGACTAGTTTTCATTTCACAAACCAAACCTTTCTTTTGGAAGAATGAAGAAATCTCAGAAAACAAACATCTAGCACCTACCACCTGAGGGTGTTACCTTATTTGACCTGATGATAATTGAAGCCTATACATCTTAACATATAGAAATATAGAACACTGGGACTGCTTTCTGTTGTAGAATAATCAATAATTTCTCCAAAGTTTTATCAGCTGGTTCTACTGCAATCTGTTCATTTAGAGCTCTTGTTTAAACACAGATAGTCCTTGTTTAACAACTACATTTGGGACTGGGAACTCCATCACTCAGTGATGCAGTCATTGAGTGAAAAATCACGTGACTGTTCCTGGTGAACAGCATCAGTTCTCCTGCAGTCATTTAAGTGAACCACATCATTCAGCACAATGTTAACGTAAGTTGCAACTTACAATTTACTGCTGGCTTCCCTTCTGACTTTGCTTCTCAGAAGCCAGCTGAGAAGATTGCAAATGGCAATCCTGTGACCATGGGATAAGCACCTTTTTCAGTTCCATAGTAAGTTCAAACAGTTGGTAAACAATGCAGTCATTAACCCAGGACTACCTCTATTTCTTGAAACAGGTTAATGAAGGCAACGGTTCTGAAGGGGTTTATTCTCTCCAAATGATTGCATGAGACTCGTCTGTAACTCACAGCCTAAGCAAAGTCCAAAAACTTAACTTATTAGATGGAGTCACAAATACCATTTTGAATGCCATACCTGTGTGGAAGCCAAATATCTGTTGTTGAAAATTGTTCTAGATAAGTATCCCATTGATTAAGGAGGGCATACATATCAGGCTGCACAAGTGGAATGCTTACACATTGTTCCCATCCATATTCAGCAATGGTAATGCCAGTTTCATTGTAATTATAAACCAAACCTACAAAATAAAAACAACAGATGTGATCAGAAGGGCAAAATTGCTGTATATACAATGGTAACTTAGTGACTATCTCCTGTAATATTTTCATTTCCTTTACAGACATGTACAGAAGTTATCTGAAAATCCTGGTTATAAGAATAAGGTGGAATAGCGGAACAAAGAATATTTACCAAATGTGCCTTTCTGAGCATCCAATTGTCTAAGCTTTTGATGTCTCAAAAACATTAAAATGTATCATTTTGAACAATAGGATTATTCTAACAGAAATAGAATATTTGACTGCTAAATTTACTTTGTAAACATGAAATAACCTTTCAGATTTTTCCATCTTTTATCCATCTTCCCATTTCGAATGACATAATTAAATCTTTCAGGCTTGTCCTACAAGCCTGCCATTCTACAAGCTGCACAACATACACTCTTAACCTACATGTTGATGCCCAATATGCAAGACAGTTCTGAAAGATTGCCTCGTTATTCAACATAAATATCAGCAAATGAAAAAGACTGGTGAAATTTTAATGAATAGGCTAACTCTACTTGTATATAAACCCTATGTTCAGCGAGAAACTTCCTTTAATTAAAATTGTTTAGATTTGAGGTAAAGAAAAAAGATAATGACAACAAAATAATTTGAAAAAGTGAGAAACACAAGAGCCCAGCAATGTTTGCTACAGAACAGATACTGGGCCGTCAATAAATAGTGAGAGAAAGAAAGGCAAAAGAGTAGAAATTAAGACACTAAAACACGGGTGTCAAACTCGCCGTGTTACGTGACGTGTTGCGCCATATTGCAACTTTTTTTTTGCATTGCCGGAGCTGGGGTGGGCGCAGCCTCTGCATGATGCAACCGGCCCGTGGGCCAGCAGTTTGACACTCCTGTTCTTAAAGATGCTTTTGCATCCTATGTATAGAAAGAAGGTAGTGGCCTGAAGAGTGGAGGGGCAGAGAACCATCATAATTCACATGTTGTCAGTACAAGTGTGCAAGCATCCAACTCTTCTTTGAACAAAGAGCATCCTAGCCCTTGCAAGCAATTCAGAACTGAACTTCTGCACAAATGTGAGATTTAGCAAACATTTAAAATTAATAATTTTAAAAACAATGCTTCCAAAAGCGCCCCCCCCCCCTTTGTCTTTCTCAAAGGCTCATTAATTTACTAGGCACAAGGCACAGAAGGGTGATCAAGTAAATTCAGCTCCAAGGTATGTTGCCTCCCCACTTTTCTGTCAGTGGGATAGATTACTAGATAGTTTGAAAAGAGGATTGGGCCTATGCAGCTGCTTCAGTTTCGATTCTCATCACTACTAGCAACCTAGTTTGCATATAATAATAAAGTTGGAAGGGACCTTGGAGGTTATCTAGTCAGTGGCGTAGCGTGGGTTGTCAGCACCCGAGGCAAGGCACCCTCCCCCTCCACAGTGGGTGGCGTCGGCGACCTGGCGGCTCGGATCGGATTCGCACAGCCAGCACTGCAGAGAGAGTGAGTGAGCCAGGCAGGGGCAGAGAGCTGCGAGTGCGAGCGCGCCCCCCCAGATGTTGTGCCCGGTGCGGCCGGCCCCCCCTGCACCCCCCACGCTACACCTCTGTATCTAGTCCAACCCCCTGCTCAGGAAGGAAACCCTACACCATTTCAGACAAATGGCTGTCCAGTCTCTTCTTAAAAACTTAAAAAAATCAATGGAATTTTGGTCAGCAAACAGAGGTAAAACACAATAATTATGTATCATGAAGTCGGTGGCAACTCAGCAATCTAGATTTTCTCCACAATACACAATCATAAACTATTATATGTACCTACACAAGACACAGATATATGCTAAATTTCACTGAACATCCTGGTTACAGTGCCTGAGGGGAGGGGGAACACAGGTCTTTATGACTTTCCAGAAGGTAAGCAGGATTGGGGCCCTCAAATCTCTGGGTGCTCCAAGAGGCAGGAGCTATGACAACAAAGGTACATTTCCTAGGTCCCACACTAGGTGACACTGCTTCATAGAGGCCATTTCATATTGCTGTCAGCACTGCATGTAATCAAACTACTTTGCAGGATAGAAAATACAAATTGTCCTGTACAGTATACTTAAAATGCATGGATACTTCATATTAGAAAATTAATTATATATTTTTCTTACCATTGGTATTGGTTATTCCAACATGAAGGTCAGAATCTCCATCATAATCTCTGAAAAGACATTTAATGTTTCATTTTGGAAAAAGACATTAGAGATTTTTTTTATTAGAAGAATTTTTGAAAAAATAAGCTGTATATGATGCCATTCAAATACAATTAGAGATAGAAATGTTATTTTATTAGCAAGAGTAATTACTTCTAAAAAGCTCTAATTGAGTAAAAAGCTCTCCAGCAATTAGATATAAGGAATCCACCTTTTCTAAATTGGTGCTTGCCTTATATTCCAGCAATGATAGAAGGCAGCTTCTATGTGCCTTGTTTCCAAACATAGAATAACAAGGAAAATCCATACCTTAGAAATGTTCCTATAGTGGGCTTCAGTAAAAAAGAACATTTTTCTCCGTGTCCATTAACAAATGGGCTTGGAATACTGACAGGTGCTTCTTCCAGACTTCTGTAAATCAGCCTTTGCCCACATAGTGGGCAGTTCTCTGGAACAAAGGAGCCAAAAATGTCTTTGTCACAGTGGGTGACCTTAATTAAGGCTCTCTCTGAATCCAGAGGTTGCATGATTAGTTCTTCCTTGGATAAATGAACCTGCTTTCCAACTTGTATTTAATAAACAGAAGTCAGTAGAATTGGACATTGAAGGAAGGAAGAGATTAGTTGAGAATGACAGCTCCCAGCACCAATTATTCCTCTACTGTGGACTGAATTAGCAAATGAGATACAAGATATGGGAGGGACAGCTTTTCCCTGGATATGCTTTTAAAGAGATAGCGTTCATTTTTTGTATTAATTGTATCTGGTACTTGTGTGCTGACTTAGTTTGATAAATAGAAACCACCACATTTGTCTGTTATTAGTCTGTAGAATAAACTCCTGCTAATTAATGGTAAGCAGATACATCTTTGTGAATCTCTCTCCTTGATTAAAATGAGGAATAAACAAATTTAGATTTGCTACCATCTCTTGGTACAAATCTTCTGACTTTTGTACCACAGGCAAAAATGTAAAACTTTCTAGTTTATTTGGTCATAAACTGAAACTTTCTAAGTACAACCCTACTATTCTTGTTGGCTACACTGGCTGAGATTTTCCAGAAACAGCAGTACCAAATTATCAGGAAGAAACCAAATTGGGAAAGATTGGTTTTGTCCAGGGCTTTTTTTCTCATAGAACGCCCGGAACGGAGTTCCGGCACCTTTTTTTGGATGGAACCTTGTAGGGTAGGCAAGGCGGGTTGTATGACGTGTGTGAGTTCCGGCACCTTTTTTTTTTTTTTTTTTTTTAAGAAAAAAAGCATTGGTTTTGTCCTTGGCAGGAAAAGATCAGCATCCTAAATTTAATGCTGGCTTATCATACAATTATTAAAGCCAGGGGACTCTATCTTTTTTTATTAGTATTCTATTAATTTGAATACTACAGATTTATTGATATATGAATGAATGCAAAAAAAAGTATTGCAGACAACTCACAATGTTGTTCAATAAGAACATAAACATGAACAGATAAAAATTAAGATTTCCAGATCTGAAACAACTGCATATGGTACTTCTCATAAGCTGCCAGATATCAGAGGGTACAAGGAACCAATACCACAAAATTTCCCAAAAGTTCTGTCCTTGGTTCTAGTTATGACATCACTAATAAACTACTATCTGCATACTGCATTGGTTATATATCTCCACAAAATAATACACAAATATATTTATTATAAATGCTTACAAAGGACATAAAATCAAAAATATTGGCATCCAATCTGGAAATGCTGATTTTCCGATTATTGCTTGATATACCTAGTTGCTGTCTTTACATGATCAGGTTCATTTAACTGCTTATCTTCCAAAGCAACATAAACTATCATCTGTCCTTACCTTTACAATCATGAGACTGCTGTAACACTTTCCTGATCTCTATACTCTGCCTTTTAATCTATACATTTTACAAGATAACTTCAAAAGGAGAATCCAACATGAAGAGTTTGGATTATATGGATTATAAACTGATTTAAAATGTGGTAATTATTATATCAGCGCCAGAATCATTCTCAAGCATTATTCCACATAGACTGAAGTTTTAGGATATTCATATTTTCTCTGTGTCTGTGTGTGTACGCATACAAGATAGACTTGCTCATTTAAAATGCATTTTATAAGTTGAGTTCTGATGCATCTATATAGCTCGATCCTTCAAGGTATGTCAAGATAAATCCGTTGATGTTCCAGTTTTACACCATCTATTTATTTATTTTTTGCTGCAACTTAAACATTCTATTGCAACTAAATATATCTATATTGGCCTAGCAGACTGCATGTCTTTTGCGCCTCAAAAATGAGAGAACAAAAACCAGACGTCTATGGAGATTCTCAGTCATCCAGGTCATGGTTATCCCAAAGATGTTCTTCACGAGGCAACTGGACTTTGTTGTTTTTTTTTTAAAGACGTTTCGCTTTTCACCCAAGAAGCTTCTTCAGCTGAAGAAGTTTCTTGAATGAGAAGCGAAACGTCTTCAAACAACAAGAAGTCCAGTTGCCTCGTGAAAAAGCACCTTTGGAACAAAAACCAGGTCCTCTCTTGTTGCTGGTTGTGCACTTCCCCCCCATTCCCTGCCAGATAGGCAAAAGGAACTACTATACCAGGGGTAGGCAACCTCGGCTCTTTTATGACTCATGGACTTCAACTCCCAGAATTCCTGAGTCAGCTATGCTGACTCAGGAATTCTGGGAGTTGAAGTCCATGAGTCATAAAAGAGCCGAGGTTGCCTACCCCTGTACTATACAAATATACCAGAAGTAGCGAGTCCCGAAACCTATAACTTTAAACTGGGAGAGGGACACTCTGTCCGGCAATCTCGCTTCCGCCAGGCGGCCGCTCTCCCGCCTTCCGGATCTCTATGCCCTGCTCTTGAATGTACTGTATACTCGGGGAGCCGCGTTAGTCTATGGCAGCAAAAAAAAAAGCAGAAGGCCGGCTGTCCTTTTCTCGACTGACAGTTTTATTACAACGCAGCTTTCCAATAATGTGTCCGTCTGGTCGATTTCTTTCCAATATTGAATGTATCATAAGCGGGCTTCCTGCTAAAAGATCTTACACCGCCCACCCATTCCGGTGTGAAGGAAAGCCTCTCTCTCCTGCTCTATGGTGGAGTGCTTCGTTCATAATTTCCGGCCGGAAACCAGTTCCTGTAGCAAAGGACCGGCTCTCTTGGTTGGGTTCCCAAACAGCTTTCCCTTCCTCTCCCCTCCCCGGCGCTACAGCGGAACCAAAAATGCGAGGAGCCGCGCAGGGAGGAGACACCGAAGCAGGAGCGGTGCCAGAGGAGACATGAGCAGCACGAAGGACATAACCTGCAGGTGAGAGAAGGAGCGGTTACCGCTTGAGATGAGCGCTCTCTGCCTTCCTCCCCACCCCGAAAAACGGACGGGCGCTTGGAGACGCTCCGCCCACGGGGAAGGGGGGGGAGGGGGAGGACGGGACCGGGATGCCTCCCGCCTCCTTTCCCGCTCTTTTCGCCGACTAAGCCGCGAGAGGAAGGGAAAAGCCGGAGAGACGATGGTTTTCCTGTCCTTGTTCCACTAACTCGCCATCCCAACCTTTTCACGCGGCCCTCCAGGGGCCCTCTTTCATTTCCCGTGTGTGTGTTTGTGTGTGTGTGTTGTAGTCCTTGAAAATGCCTGTTACACATAGGGGAGCTTTTTCCAGAACAGGGAGGGTTATTGGTTTCCCCTTAAAAATCTAAACCTTTTCTTTTGGGCATAATAAATGTAAAGATGGAAAAACAACTCCAACACATCATTATACACATATTGACTGCAGCTCCTATAGCATATGCGCAATGTTGGAAGAGTGAAAGTATTCCCACAAATGATATGATTGTGTATAAAATCTTGGACTGCGCAGAAATGAACAAACTTAACGTTAGAATTAAAAGACAAGGAGACGTCAGCATTTTATGAAATTTGGAATAAATGTTATCATTGGCTAGAACAGAGAAAGAAAAAAGACATAATTATTGATGTACATAAAATGTAAATAAGATGTAAAGAATATTTAAGATGTAAAGCACTGTTCTGTTAGAAGAAAAGATATATGTTTATGTAGTTTTTGGTGTATGGTGTATAGTGAAAAAAAAAATAAAAAAAAAAAATCTAAACCTGATTTTCCCTAAATAATTCCTAAAGGACAGTGTGTCTTAAGGCCAGGGCCTTTGTGCAATTGGCCCAGAAACATGGCTACAAGTCAAGCTCAGGTGGTTCTCTTAGTTCCATATCATAAGAGATTGAAGTTTGACACAGGGATGGAAGTAGGACGTTAATCCTGTGGACTTCTGATTTGTCCCAAAGTCTCTCCATATTGATAATCAGGGAAAGCTTTTTAGGATATAAACTACATGCATTCAGAATCTTAAAAATAGATTTCTTAAGTTCTTTTAAAAGTGCCAATAAAACAACATTCCTAGAGAAAACGATGTAACCTTATTTGAGCCCTGAGTGTGGAACCTATCTCTCATTTTAGGATATTTGTGTATTTCAATGTACAAATATTCCACGTTCTGCTTTTCTGAACTTTCTGGAGAAAATCTTGGTAGATTTATTCGTGGACTTGACAAATACTGAAAGAAGAATGATACATTTGACATCTGTTGCTGTATGTGACTTTGCATATATATTATTGCAGGTATTTTATACAAGGAGTATGTCGTGAAGGAAATAGGTGTCTGTTTTCCCATGACTTGTCTACAAGCAAACGATCTACTATCTGCAAATTCTATCAAAAAGGACAGTGTGCTTATGGAACTCGCTGCAAGTATGAGTTATTGGTTTCCAAGAGAAAACCTGCAGTTAATTTATCATGTTAAAGACA